GTCGAGGGTGTGGAGAAAGAGAAACACTCCTCCATTGTTGGTGGGACTGCAAGACGGTGCAACCACTTTGGAAATCAGTGTGGCGGTTCCTCAGAAAATTGGACATAGCATTACCCGAGGATCCAGCTATACCACTCCTAGGCATATACCCAGAAGATGCTCGAACATATAATAAGGACATATGCTCAACTATGTTCATAGCAGCCTTATTTATAATAGCCAGGAGCTGGAAAGAACCCAGATGTCCTTCAACTGAGGAATGGATTCAAAAAATGTGGTATATTTACACAATGGAGTATTACTCAGCTATTAAAAACAATGAATTCGAGAGGTTCCTAGGTAAATGGATGGAACTAGAAATTATCATCCTGAGTGAGGTAAGCCAATCACAAAAGAACACACATGGTATTCACTCACTGATTATTGGATATTAGCCCAGAACCTTGAAATGCCCAAGATGCAACTCACAGGCCACATGAAGTCCATAAAGAAGGAAGACCAAGTGGGGGTGATTCGGTCCTTCTTAGAAGGAGCAACAAAATACTCAAGGGAACAAATATGGAGACAAAGCGAGGGACAAAAACTGAAGGAGGGGCCATCTGAAGACCTTTCCACCTGAGTATCCATCCCATGTGCAGTCACCAAAGGTAGATGCTGATGTGGAAGTCAGGAAGTGCATGCTGATAAGAGCCTGATATGGATGTCTCCTCAGAGGTCTTCAAGAGTCAGACATATTCAGAGGCAGATGCTCACAACTAGCCATTGAACTGATCATGGGTTTCTCAATAGAGGAGTTAGAGTGAAGACTGAAGGAGCTGAAAGGATTTGCGGCACCATGAGGAGAACAATAATACCAACCAACCACAGCTCCCAGGGTCTAAACCACCAGCCTGGGAGCACTTGGGGCGGGATCCAGGGCTTCAACTGAATATGTAAGAGTGGAGGGCCCTGCTGGGCATAGGTGGAAGAAGAGAACCTTGACCTCATGAAGGCTAGATGCCCCAGGGGGTGGGAATTTTGAGGGTGGGGAGGTGGGAGTGGGGGGGAGTAGATAGAGGTTACATCCACATACATCCACAGAGAAGAAGGAGGAGGGGTGAGGGGATTGGGGGTTCCGGGGTGGGTGGGGGATGGGGTAAGGGGACAACATAGGAAATGTAAATAAAACATCCAATAAAAAAAATATATACATGATAAAAAAAAAAAAGAAAATACATAAGTGGTTCTCAACTGTCCTAATGCTGTGATCCTTTCATATAGACCTTCAGGTTATGGTGATCCCAACCACAAAATTATTTTCAGTGCTACTTTATAACTGTAATTTTGCAATTATTATGAATTATAATGTAAATATCTGTGTTTTCTGATGGTCTTATGGAATGACGTGTGAAAGGGTCATTCCACTGACTGCTGGAATATAAGTATCATTGTGCCTGGGGTTGTTGATGCTTATGATCAAACAAAATATAGTTGCTATACAAAACTTAAAAAAGTAATACTATGTATTTTCCTGGTGGATTCTTTAAAACAAAATTAGTAGCATTTCCATGACCAAAATAAATGTTAATATGACCTATATTGTCCCAATTAACATAAGAATAATAGATGCAGGTTTCCTCAGAAGGAAAATATGCATTATAACACATCAAAAAAAATTCCTCCCACATCAGTTGCACACTGCCACATGCAAGAAAGTAAAAAACATAATTATGTATCTCAGCTATCACTGCAAAATAACAGGGGCATAGCTTTGGCATTAGGCAATAATATAACAAATAGAGAGAGAGTGAGTGGGCAAGTAGTGGTGGTGACGGGTGCCATTGAGATTTTTCTTAGAGCCAAGAAGCCAAAAGTAATCTAATTGAATGGGAATCTGTGCTTCATTTTCTTAACAATTAAACATTACTCTGGGATGTGTAATTTTCACATATTTCTATCCTTAACATTATTAGCAACTTTAGAAATTTGGGTCATAAAAGTCTGATCTATGCCAGTAACATACTCATTCCTCAAAGAGCTTGTTTACTGGAGTTACAACATATTGACAGATGGTCAACCTGCAACCTTTCCAAATAATGTGTCTTTAAAAGTCACTTATAATTATCTTCTAAGAAATAATATTTTGTTCATCATGTAGGCTCTATTTACTTTTGTAACTATTCAAACACTCCTCTTCACCCCCACAAAGAATAAACTACACCAAACAAACAAGTTAATGTTCACCCATAAGTTTCTGTCTCCCACTTCACTACCCTCAAAGTATAGTCATCTGTGATCAGTGACTATTATCAGTCACCTCTGTAGGTCACTGAGAGAACTGGCCCTATAGAGGTCCTGGATAATTACTGTCTTTAATGAGTTACTGCAGCACCTGGACTCCTCTGGGACTCACAGCCTCTTATTATAGAGATGTATTGCAGGGGAGGTGTGAAATGTGGTATAGATACTGTAAAGGACCCCAGACCTGCTGACTTCCTGTGCCCACACTGAATAAAAAGAACACAATCTTTTATCAGGATTTAGGAATCACCCTTGGCCATCCAAGGTAAATTATCTGGTTAGTGAGCTATTCCTTTGCTGTCCTTCAAACTTCAGAGTATTTTCTTTTTCTTCTCAATTGCATATTCACAGGACAGTCTTTTGGGTATGATAATATACATCTTTGTCATCTCTCTGAAGTGTACTATTGTCATATAGTTGAAGTGTTTGGTTTGTGATCAATATTAATAAACATTTTAGTATCTATGTGGTTCCTTACACTTACTCTTTCTTAAACTATTCTCCTAAACCATATCATTTCAAGCTAATAACAGGTCTAGGAAATTGAGTTGAATTATGTAATTTAATTTGGATTTCTGTGGGGAGAGATTCACTATGTCCTGAGTTGTGATCTCCAGCTTCAGGCTTCCAAGTGCTGGGACATAGGTCTGCACTGCTAAACAGGGATGAGCTATATAGTCCTTCTGTTTTTAAGTCTCTTCCTCTCTGTCTCCTTTCTGTTCCTCACTCTGTGTCTCTGTCTCTGTCTGTGTCTATGTCTTTGTCCCTGTATCTCTCTGTCTATGTAGAGGTCAGAGGATATAGAAGTCATGCATATTTCACAATACACAAGGACTTATTGTTGCTATGGTTTATGCCAGGCTACCTGGCCTCCAGTCTTCCAAGGAGTCTCTTATCTTACCATTTAATCTTCCATAGGAGCACTGGGATTTCAGATACATGCTACTTGACCCATCGTAGCTTTCACAGGGGAAGCAGAATTTAAGAAACTGGGTTATGGTTTACCCTGCATGTCTCATCTCTCCATAATATTGAAACATAATTCTGAAGTATTCATCACTGAATACAGCTGCATTAACATCCATCAACAGACTGAATGTCTCTTCATCCTGAGGCAATTGTGTGGTTTTATTAAACATTGGGTATGCTGGTCAAACACTATAAAAAAGGACTACATACCTAGCCTCACATGTCTCTTAATGCCCTTTCCCTGATTTCTTTGCCAGCTTAAAACATGCTAAGGTTCATTAGTCAAGATTGTCTAGAAGAAAACAGAAAAACAGAACAGAAATGGCAATTTACTTA